CTCTGGTAACCAGTTAGAATGAACAGAAGCAGATTACAGAAATCAAGGCAGAAAAGTAAACACAAATCTGAACTGATTGAATATGGTAAAGAAAATAAGGTGGTAAGTATCCTGAAACATTATATCTACATAATTCCACACATTCATTTACACGACATTATCTGTCATAATTAACACGGGAACGTCTTACTCTTCAATGTACCTATTTAACTGTCCAGCAATTTCTTTAAGGAAGTGTATTCTTTGCTCCAGCCTTTGGAATTTCGCTTCCTCTCCCAGTTTCACAGATCCCGATGCAGCACAGTGGTCTTGCACTTCACCTTCACGTTCTGTAAATATAAAACAATTGTCTTTGTGTGTGTACATGTGCACTCAAGAGGTTGGCTATGGTGGGGAGTGGAGAAAGGAGAGAATCCTGACGGCAGGAATCCACTTTTTACCTTCCCAGTGCAAACTCATTTTTACTACAGGCATGTCTCATTTTATTGCCCTTCATGGTGATGCATTTTTTAAAAAACAAATTAAAGATTTGTAGCAACCCTGAGTCCAGAAATTTTATCGGTAACACTTTTTTTCTGACAGCATTCGCTCATTTCTTATCTCTGTGTCACATTTTGGTAATTCTTGAAATATTTCATTCTTTATCATTTTAATTAAAACAGGCATGACATTCCTTTAAGGCAAAGCCTAATCCAGTGGAAGTCCCTAATTCTCAGCAATTCTGCAAACCCTGAGAGAGATGAAGAGGCTACAAAAGAAAAGTCTGAAGCCAGTAGGGGTTGGCCCATGAAGTTTAAGGCATGATTCCATCTCCATTGCATACATGTGCGAGGTAAGGCAGGAAAAGCTAATCCAGAAGCTGCTGCAAGTTATCCAGGAGATCAAGCTAAGACAATTAATGAAGGTGGCTAGACTAAACAACAGACTTTCAATGCAGAAAATTGGATGGGGAGGCCATCCAGCACCTTTATAGCTGGAGAGAATTCAGCACCTGGCATCAAAGCTTCAATGGACAGGCTGATTTTCTTGTTAGGGGCTAATGCAGCTGGTGACTGTAAGTTGAAGCCAATGCTCATTTAACAGTCTGAAAATCCTATGTCCCATGAGAATCATGGGAAATCTACTCTGTGCTCTCTATATGGAACAAAGCCTGGATGACAGCACATCTGTTTACAACATGAATATTTTAGCCCACTGTTGAGACCTACTGCTCAGAAAGACAAACAAACAAACAAACAAACAAAAACCCAAAACACTTCTTTCAAAATATTATTGCTCTTGGTTAATGCACCCAGTCACCCAGGAGCTCTGATGGAGACGTATGAGATGAGTGCCGTTTCCATGCTTAACATGACATCCATTCTGCAGCCCATGGATCAGGAGTAATTATGACTTTCAAGTCTTATTATTTAAGAAATACATTTTGGAAGGCTTTAGCTGCCACAGATAGTGACACCACTGATGGGTCTGGGCAAATAAATGGAAAACTTTCTGAAAAGGATTCACCACTTTAAGTGCCATTAAGAACATTTGTGATTCATGGGAAGAAGTCAAAATATCAACATGAACCAGGGTCTGGAATGAACTCATTCCAAGCTCGATGTGTGACTTTGAGAGGCTCAAGACTTCAGTGCAGAAGGGAAATGCAGATGTGCAGAAAATAGCAAGAGAACTAGAGTTGGAATTGGAGCCTGAAGACGTGACAGAATGGCTGCAATCTCATGATAAATTGTGCACAAATGAGGAGCTGCTTCTTATGGACGAGCAAAGAGATTGTTTTCTCGAGATGGAATCTACTGGTGAAGATGCTGTGAAGAATGTTGAAATAACAAAGGTATGAACTTGGCTGATAAACTACTGCAGGGTTTGAGAGGATTGACTCTAGTTTGAAAGAAGTTCTACTGTGTGTAAAATGTATCAGATAGCATTGCCTGCTACAGAGGAGTTGTCCCTGAAAGGAAGAGTTAATCCTGTGACAAAATTCACTGTGGTCTTATGTTAAGAAATTGCAAAAGCCACACCAATCTTCAGCAACTGCCGCAATGATTGGTCAGCAGCCACCAACATCAATTCAAGGCCATCCACCAACAAAAAGATAACACCTCACTGAAGGCTCAGATGATGGCTAGTAGTTTTTAGTAATAAAGTATATTTAATTAAGTTATCAACATTGGGGTTTTTAGACATAGCGGTATTGCTCACTTTAACAGACTACAGTATAGTGTAAAGATAACTGTTATATGCACTGGAAAACAAACAAAAAAACTTGACTCTCTTTATTATGATATTTATTTCATTCAAGGGTCTAGAACAGAGGCCACAACATCTCCCAGGAAGCTGACATGTGAGGTTTTCTTCTAAACAAGCAACATACCTTCCAGGTTACATTCCTCAGTTGTCACAGCTCTCTGCATCAAATCCTCAGGTCTTGTGTTCAAAATGCCTGGCTGTAAGACAGATGTGAGAAAACATATTCAAGAAGTAATGATCCACAGCAATGTGAATGTACTTAACACAAAAGGATCGTACACTTGGAAACAGCTAAGAGAGGTCATCTGATTTATGTGCATTACAACACAATTAAACATTGACAAAGTGATGTTCAGTTCTCTGATGTAAGTATCTCTGGGGGTGAGTAACATTTCTTACTCTCTTCTTCTTGCTGCTGAGCTGAACATCCTCCTGTACATGCATTTCTTCAGATTTCACTTTGGCTTCATGGACATGAGCTTTATTAAGAGCAATTTCAACCTAAAACATTCTAATTGATGACTAAATTCCCAAGAAAAATAATTTGAATAGTTATCAACATTTAGTCTTCTAAGACATGAAATTGTTGTTCCTTGTGAAAGCTAATGTGTACAGTGGGAATCCTGCTGCAACTGCAGGCACTTATCTCTGAGATTCCTGAAGTGTTCATTGAAACAGCATCTTTCTAGTTCTGAGGAGATGTTCCTTTTTCTGATATCTTCACACAGGATAGAAACAAAGCATGTAATAAGATTTCAATGAAAACTCAGGGTGATATGCTTAAAAAGCGTAACTTTTTTTTTTCAAAAACAAATTATTTTGTTAAGTGCAAAACAAACCATAGAAAATAAATATATTAGCTCTGGTACACATCCAAAGACTTTGGTGAGCATTCTCTCTACAAGATATTAAGGCAGTGAAATGATTCTGAACATACAAATTTTAAAAATAAAAGAAAACAAGTGTCATACATCCCCTTACACATGCTTGAAAGCATCTGGGACTTTGCATGAATTTTGGTTTGGGGTCAAAGACAGTGTCTGCTCCATTTGAGAGTTTACAACAGACAGGGTCTCTTACTTCAGGTTCTAGCACTAGGAATCCTAACAGTTCATTCTGACCCTTTGTGTCTTGCATTTCCTTCTTCAGCTGGTCTTCTTTCATTGCCAGCCTGTCAATCTCTTCCAGCAAGTCTTGGTTTGTTCTGATGGGCAGTTGCTTCTCTTCAACCCATTTGGAATCCTGTCCCTTCTCAGCCTGTATCCACAGCCACTCCTAAGTTTCCTGTGATGGCAGCTGATCCAGGTTGGGCCCAGGATAAATGTCAAGCCCAGAAAAAATGCAGAACAAAGACAGGCCTTCAGGCACAAATATTGCCTGGCTTCCACAAACTTCCTCCTCATTGGACAATGGAAGACATGCCTGGGTGACAAGGGGAAAGCAAGGGTGGGAAACTGCTCATGTCAAAGAGCTCATAAATGAGTGTTCCTAGTGGAATATAAAGAAAGTTTCCCCAAATTCACATGGAAAATTCTGTTTAACTTCAACAGAGCAAGGGGCTGCACAACTCAGCTAGATTACTTCCTTAACCTCTCAGGCATTTCCTGGCATTTTCTATGTATCTTGGAGGGCAGTGTGAGTGGTGAGAAAACCCCCTAGGTTGTGAAAATAAGACATATTTCCATAGAAAAAAGTCACAGAGGTCTTAGTCCATGAAATTCTGGATCATTGTTCATAGGGAGGTTCAGCTCCCAAGCTCCTACAGTCTACTGTGCCCAAAAGCAAGAGGAGCTGGAGCTCTCAGCTTATCCAGTGCACAAAAAGCCTCAGAAGCCCAATTATGGTCAACGTGGCAGCCAAACTCTTACCAAGCACTGACGCTTGGCATTCTGATCCCTTGCTGACTGCAGTTTCGCTCGAGCAATTTGAATGAAGTAATTCAAATATTCATTAACCCTCTCCATGGTTTTGATGTTCTCCTTCAACAAAAACATACTGAATCAGTAACAATTACTCATTACTTTCATTTCTGTTTTCAGAATGTAATCTAGGAAAAGATGTTTGTAACTTAAACTTAAGTGCTTCGTCAGAGAGCATCTTCTTCTGCCTAGTGGTCTCCTCTAAGCATTTCTCTGAATCATTTGTCTATGCAAATATGCAATAAAGGAAACAGAATTACAATTATTAATTACACTGCTAGCTTAACCTATCTTGTGTGTAACCCCTTCCACTAATACAGAAAGTAGTGCTTTACATCTATGACACTTGCTTTGTTTATTTATTTTTTTTATTGAAGTACATAATCAGTTACAGTGTGTCAATTTCTGGTATACAGTATAATAATTCAGTCACAGCCATATATGTACCTATATTTGTCTTCACATTATTTTTCATTATAGGTTACTACAAGATATCAAGTAGAGTTCCCTATGCTCTACAGAAGAAATTTGTTTTTTATCTAGGACACTTGCTTTGAATCTAGACCTCTTATAGAAAATATGGGACAGGACAGTGGGATGAAAGAAAGAGAGCCAAATAACTGAACTACCAGAGGGGGAAGGGATTGAAGGTGAAGTCACAAAAAATATCAAATGGACAATGATACCTTCTGCTCCCAAGTGGATATATTTTCTGCAAGTTCTCTGTTTTCATTCTTTAAATTATTGATCTTCTCAGTTATCTGCTTTATAGTAACTAAAAGGAGATAAAGCAATTTCTTATATTGGTAGGAAAACCCAGTAGAATTGAATTATCCCAATAGATTAGTGGCAGAGACAAACCTGGCTGGCACTATGAGTGTAATTAACTTTTTAGCTTTACTATTGTGCCTAAAGAAAGCAAATTTTATCAGTGGCATTTTAAATGTGAGATCACTGAGACTCCTAGTTCAATTATTTTCAAAGATGCAGAAACACAATAAAAAGTCTTCTCCTAAGTTCTCTCCCAGCTATAAGCACCATTCTTAGAAAATTCAATCATTCAAATACTTCTGACATCACCAGAGATGAAATAGAAAAACCAAGCATCCTGTCCCCTTAACATTCTCTCCTCCAATTATTAAGGTAAGTAAACGTGCCCCTGTTTAAAAAAAACAAAACAAAAAACAAAAAAGAACCCTTATTCCAGGCAGGTTCATCCCACAGCCAGGCCCTATTGTCAGCACCACAGAAGGCAAGTTCAAAACGTCTCCTGATTGGACCTGCACAGGCCTCCAGTGTCTTCCTGCTGCCTGGTGGATCATCTTTCATGAAAAACATGCTGGGGGCCCTGAAGGACAAGGTCATTGGGATTAAACACTTGGTACGATGTCACTGGAGGACCTGGATAACGCACAGTAACTAAATGACAAGTTTTCCATTGCCAGGAAGAGAATGTTCCCATCACTGCTTCAGGAAAACAGCACACAAAAAGCACCCAGTCACAGAGGACCCCACACGTGAAGCTCTAGAACGCAGCCCTCAATTCCAGACTCCTCTGTCGGGCATTTAATTCTCTCATCTGACCACACAGCACACACGCCTCTTCTCTCTGCCCAGCGGGGAAGCTCTGATGCCCAGATCCCTCTTCTCACCGCCAGCACTTCTGCATCCGTTGTGACCAACACCAGCACTCAAGGGCCTACTGAGCGCCAGGCAGCCACTGTGCCTGCCACACACAGCCCTACTCAGTCAGCAGGGTCTGTGAAGAAAGCGGTGTCCTCAGGCTGAATCACTTTCATGAAGTCCCCGCTGGCATGAATGGCTCCCTTCACTTCTGAGTCAGAGTCCATGGATTCCCCTTGGCTGTGACACACACCAGCTGGCTACATCTGCATCCCTCCCTAAGCCTGGAGAGTCCTGATAGGCTCAAGTAGTGTTTTAGCACCTTTAGTTTTCACCAAGAACCAGGTCATGCCAGGTACTCACTCCAAATGTTAAGACTCTTCTCATCACCTACTCCCTGAAGGTTTCTATACAAAATTAAACTCATCCTTGTCTCCCTACACCTGTGACCCTCCTGGTCTCTTATCTCAATAGATGCCAACTTCCTCCACGGTGTCATTTATACATCATCCCCAGGAGTAAAACTTTCAAGAGTTATGAAGTCAGTTAGACATCAGAAGTCACTGTGTTTGCTCTTAGTTGAATTAAAACCCACATCAAATCCCAGTATTGAGAAAATATTACAAAGAAAACTAGATCTGAATATCTTACCTTGATACTTTTGAGGCTTTTCCTAGGAGAGGAAGAAACATTAAATTTGATGTCAAAACATGTAATTAGTATATATATAGTTTCTAATAAAATATCAGAATGGTAACCCATTGAAATTACAAATATCATTTTGGTTCAGCATAATGATTCATATAATTAAAAAATCAGGAAAAATCAGTATTTCCTACTTAAGGCAGGATCTTTCACTCACCATTTCTGATAGAGAGCACAAAAGTAAATAATTTATTTTAGAACAAAGATCTCTTTACATTCTATTAAATAAACACCAATCTATTTAATTTTCATAATGCATATTTATGTTTGATTACAGTGAACTATTTTATTTTCATAATATATTGTTATAAATACACTAATGCATCATTTATCTAATTTGTTTTTGTCAAACCAAACATCCATACTGTAGTCCAGAACCTGGATTGTTGTATAAATGTCAGAGAGAGAGAGAGAGAGAGAGAGAGAGAGGAGAAACTAAAAGAAAAATAAAGGGAAAATCTTTATACTAAGATACACCCCTATCATTCAATGAAAGTTGTTTGGAACTCTTATAAAGAGTTGACTGAATTGATAAACAACTGTAACATGTAAGTTCCTCAGATTTTTCAAGACCACTAAAAAAAGGGGGGGACATGAAATGAGACATCAGATGAGAATGATAGTGGTCAACGACTGTAACAAAAGCACAAGCAACAGCAGGAAAGACAGCTACCATTTTTAAGAAGCAAAATTTTCATTTCAAAACTAATTTCTGTTCAAGTTAGTAACGTAAAAGGAAACAAAGAAAAGGTCTGGACTTCTGGATTCTGGCCTAGGCGTGCAAATAAAATGTCCAGTGACTACAAAAATTCCTGGCAGGTGTGATTAAAAGGACAGCGTAAGGTACTTCAGTAATACTCACAGCAAGGACGGTCCTCCAGATGAACACCAGGAAAGCAAAAATTCTCCAGCAGGCAGTAAGAACAGTAGCACTCTGCAGAATTCCATGAACATCAGGCCCAGGATGGGAAAGGAGAACCAGAGTGCGGACGACCTGAAATAATATTGGAGATAATGAGGAATCTCAGAGACATTCACAGTTTATCCGTCACAAAGAATCCTCTCTAGAAACCCTAAACCACACCCCTCAAGTATCTCCTCAGAGAGGAGAGTAGGGACACTTGAGTTCAAACGGAGCAGGAGGAAGCTCTTAGGACTGTGGGTATGTTTACTGCCTTTGTTTGGAGATAAGTTTCTTTGCTGCACATTGCTGCACACATATGTCAAATATCAACAAATTGTACTCATTGGAAAGGTGCTGATATTACTTGTAAATACACCACACTAAACCTATACAAAAAAGCCTGATCCACAAAATGTTAGAGATTTGACTTTGCTGACGGACACATTGCAAATATCTTAAAAATAGTTAATAGAACTTAACTTATGAATGTAGAAGCCAACTTGAAACTGAAAATAAGCAAGCACAAGCCTACAGGGGATGGGAAGCCTACATCTTCTATTGTATGTTCATGAAGCAACTGAATAAACTCCTATGAAATATCTCCAAAAATATACCCAAAATGTATGGGAAAATAGCAATGAAAATGTGTTAAAGTAAAACTGAGATTAATACACAGAGAGATATACCTTTGTGTTTATAGATTGGACATGACTGAGAACGTGGATCAGCTACTGTTATCATAATACCAAAGTTACTATTCCAACAAAAATTAATTATAATTTATTTTAGCCCAACTTTCTAAAAACCATGGAGGTTTTCTTTCAATGTTCACTTTGACTCTGAACCAGAGTATGTAATGTCAGACTTCTGAAATATATAAGGATTTGTATAATTCAGCAATCTTGTATAATGATTAAAACTATGAGAATGAAGTTACATAAAAATAGAATTCAAAACAGTCAGTACAAATAATTCATATGCATATTTCATAGTGTTGCACCTACGTCAATTAACAGCAACCATGAAAGTTAATTAGTATTTCTGGAATGTATGGTCACCAAAACAAAAGGCAAACACATAGTTTTGTCAAAACTAGATTTCTAAGTATTGTAGGAGGGAATAAATGCACAATGCAATTTGTACTAATTCAACACCAAGCTTCAGTTTTGTGCAAATAAAACCTCTCTAGAAAGCAGCGTCTGAAATTGGTAACATTGTCGTTGTCAGCTCTCACAGTTGAGGTCAGTAAAATGTGTGATGGTGGGAAACATGCACGGTCTTTGTGTAGCTGCTGTCTGAGAGAGCAGTGGCTCTCAGCACAAAGGACAGACATGCAGATCAAAGGCACAAAAAGACAAACACCATCTGGTCACTAACTGGTAAAACACCATCTGTCGTGGGTATGCTTGTTACACACGGCACTGTCTAAATGCTGACATAAGTAGCTGACTCCTACCTAGACTCTATCCACCAGGGCCAATGAACCCAGGTTCTGACAGTCAGTGGCCATGTGCAATGGTGGAGGAGGACAAGTTAGTTTATCCAAATGCTCAAAGATGTGGTAGGGAAAGAGGGCTTAACTAACCTATGAGAACTCAGCCTCATTCCCTTTGAGGGAAAAAAATTCCAACAAAGATTACCTAGAAATGTCCTCCTTAGTAGGCTCAAATGAAACAGAACAGATTCCTCTTGAGTTGGAGCATTCATATGGCATGATTCTGCCTCAGTGCAAAGGTTGTTCCTGACACTTGATTTTTCCAGAACCCTAAGAATCTGGTGCTTGCCCATCAGAACAAACCCACTTTAATCCATGAGGTGTTCTCAGTCTTTCTTTTCCTTGGGTGTGGAGGTGCTTTTTCCTGACAGAGTGAAAATTTCACAGTATGTACCTGAATTTTCTTTATATTTGGACAATTCTAAGGACATGAAGGACCCTCTCTGCTTTGGGGAAATCAACTCTCTGCACATGGACACTTCACTAAAGGGAGGACAACTCGTCCACCTCCTAGGCATTTCCCCATTATAAATATCCCAGCAGGTTGTAGCCACTGATTTTCACATTGACTGGACTCTCAAGGCTCCCATCAACCTAGTTGGACACAGAGTCCCTGGGGGCAGCCTCCAAGATGAGAAGGAAAGGGGTGACCCAGAATTTGCTAGAAGTCTGATAGAAATAAAAGCAAAAATAAACATATGGAACTTAATTAAACTTGGAAGCTTTTGCATAGCAAAGGAAATAATAAGCAAAATAAAAAGACAACCTATGGAATGGGAGAAAATATTTGCAAAAGATGAGACTGACACGGGCTTAATTGCCAGAATATATAAATAGGTCACATAACTGAATAAGAAAAAAAACAAACAAGCCAATCCAAAAATCGTCAGAAGACCTAAACAAGCAATTCTCCAAGGAAGACATACAAATGGCCAATAGACACATGAAAAAATGCTCAATATCACTAATTATCAGAGAAATGAAAATCAAAACTACAATGAGGTATCACCTTACACCAGTCAGAAGGGCCATCATTCAAAAGTCCACAAACAGTAAATGCTGAAGAGGGTGTGGAGAAAAGGGAACCCTCCTACACTGCTGGTAGGAATGTAGTTTGGTGCAGCCATTATGGAAAATAGTACGGAGATTCATCAAAAGACTAAATATAGACTTATCATATGATCAAGCAATCCCACTCTTGGGCATATATGCAGAGGGAACCTTAATTCAAAGAGATACCTGCAACCCAATGTTCATAGCAGCATGATTTACAATAGCCAAGACATGGAAACAATCTATGTGTCCATGACAGATGACAGGATAAAGAAGCTGTGGTATATTCATGCAATAGAATACCACTTGGCCATAAAAAATAATAAAATGATGCCATTTATACCAACATGGATGGACCTGGAGAATGTCATTCTAAGTGAAGTAAGTCAGAAAGCAAAAGAAAAAAAATACCATATATCACTTACATGTGGAATCAAAAAAAAAAAAGACAAATGAACTTATTTACAAAACAAAAACAGACTCACAGACATAGAAAACAAACTTATGGTTACCAGGGGTGGAAAGGGGTGAGTAGGGAAAAATTGGGAGTTTGAGATTCATGGATACTTATCTATATAAAGTAGATGAACAACTAGCTTATACTGTAGAGCACAGGGAACTATATTCAATATCTTGTAGTAATTTATGGTAAAAAGGAATATGAAAATGAATATATGTATGCTCCTATATGACTGAAGCATTCTGTTGTACACCAGAAATTGACACAACATTGTAAACTAACTATACTTTGATAAAAATATTTTTAAAATTACAGAGCTATTGAATATTTTCATTACATTAAAATTTCTGGAAAGAATACACTTCAAAGAGAAAAAAAAAGTTGTTAGAAGTTAACAAACCAGAAAGCACAGAGCACAAATGACATTTCACTGTTTAACAGACTAGCACAAACCCAATGCTTAGATCCCACTGCTCCCAGGGCTGCCGAGCTTCACCACTAGGAAGAGTGTGCTCCGAGGAACACACACTGCACAGGGACTGGACCCCAAATGTGTACAGCTTGAAGCAGGATCTTGACAAGCTTTCCAGGAGCCAGTCTAACTATGACTTCTAGTAAGTAAGAGTTGCTCACTTTTTAAAAAACAGCTTTATTGAGATATAATTAACACATCCCCCCCATTTTAGACATACAACTCAATGGCTTTTAGTATATTCACACTTCCTTCTTTGCTGCAATAAAGTAACAATTTCAGGTTTCATCCCGTCAACCGTGCTGTGTTTGGCCCAAGAGGTCCTGACAGGACCCAGATCTTGATGAGGACGCCGGTGGCCAGGGCCACTTCAGGCTGGTCAAGAAACCTGTCCTGAGGGCCTCAGTCTTCACCAATGATGAGTTCCCATCAAGGACCCCATGAGAAAGCAGTTACTTAACCACAGTGTGAAAGAGCCCAGGGAAAAGGAGGAAGCCCCTGACGCCCCATGTTTACTCACAGCTCATGGGGTACGGGTTACTCACAGATGTGGGACACCCCAGCAAGTGGGACCTCATCCCCTCCATGTCCTGGTCCTCTCAGGGGCCCTCAGGTCCCCATGCAGGAGGAAGGGTGGGAGGGGAGGGGAAGGAGGAGGGGGGAGGGGGAGCAGGGGGAGGGAGTGTGACAGGAAGAGGGGTTGGGCACTTAGTAGGAGAAGAAGGGGGGCACAGAAAGGATGAGGGTCAATCAAGCTTTTGAGGGGAGGAAGGAGGGTTCAGTCAGGTTAGCAGGCCAGCCATAAGAGGTCAAACGGACTCTCAGGAGCAGTTGGAGGGGATGATGCTTTATACCCTCTTTCAACCAATCACCTGCCTTCACCGCCGGCCCCTCACAGTGGACATTCCGGGTGCCCTCACTTTTGGAATGCGCCCCCCTACCTGATCCCCCACCACCAACTGCCATCCAACCCTGGGTCCTCAATGCAAGCTATTCCGACCTTATGCTTTCTTGTCCTTCCCAACCCTGGTCCCCTGCCCCCTACTTCTGGGTGCTCCCTCCTTCTCCAAATTCCCAGGGTTTCCCTTGGGCAGTGGCTGAAAAACATGTAAAGAATGACAGAACCAAGAGGAATCAATTACACAGGCTGAGTGGGAGGTCTTCACTACCCCTCGCTCAGCACTTCATACAAAAAGCAGACACAGCGTTCACAAGATGGAGAAGATCTTAACAGCAAACCATCTTAACCACATTGCCACACCTATATGGCCATCCTTATCTGTTGTACACCAGTAGGTGACACAGTAACCTTAGGTACATATGATACATACATAAAAATAAACCCTATTATTATGGCCAAAACTATAACTATAAAATATAATTATATATTGTCACACCACCTACATTGCACTTGGGTGACTCATGTACAAACAGGTCCAAAGAGGCAGAAACTACCCCGGTGGGGCAAGAGCAAAGTTATGCTCTGGGGTAGCATTGGCTGCGTGGGGGCCTGAGAAATCCTTCTGGAGTGGTGGGAAGATTTGGTGTCTGGATATGGGGGGATGGTTGTGTTCATTCAATCAAGAAATACTGAGCACGCAGGGCCTGCTAGTCCCAAGGGTCAGAGAGACCCTCATATCTGTCCTCGTGAAGTGGGCAACTGCTGACGGTGAGGAAGGGATGAGGTGCCAGGAGTGGCTGCGAGAATCCAGTGAGAGGGCCCCGCACTAATCCAGGCTTTGTGCCCCGGCCCGGCCCTGCCAGCTGCCCCCAGGAGCCCAGATTCCAGGCAAACTCTGAGGGGGACTGAGGGCAGCAGCTCCCTCCTGTCTCAGGAGCTCCCATAATCTGCCCATAATTTTCTTAGTGAGAAACGGACAGGGGACAGTCAGTGGTTTGGGACTCTCTGCCATTCACAGAGAGGAGTTGGGTGAAAATACCTGGCTCCTCACAGGTCCCTCAGTCCAATCCTCAGTAGCCCCCCAAGCGCACAGGGCCCTCCCTCCTTCCTAGCTGGGGGAGGCAGCCAGCCCTGCAGCAGCACTGGGGTCCAGGCTGGGCCACCAACAGGTCAAGGTGGGGCGGTGCTGCCCAGGAGGAGGGAGAGCAGTGGTGCAGCAGTAAATAGCAGCATGAGCAGCCTCTGTAACTGGATCCCCCACTGTGAGCAGGGCCGGGGGCCACAACGTGGCAGTGAGAGTGGGAGGGCTGGGAGAGGTGGGGCCCTGTGGCCCTGGACAGGGCTGGACCAGAGCCCAGGGCCTGAGGGCCTAGGGGAGAGACAGAGAAAGAGACAGGCAGGGAGAGGGACAATGCGTGAGTGATTGAGAGAGAGAGAGGTGGGGGTCAAATCCTAGAGAGTGACAGGAGGTGACAGAAGGGGACTGGATAGGGATAAGCAGAGACAAGATGAGGCAAGAAGGAAAGAGGGAGCCAGGGTGCATGGTGGGGACGAAGGGCCAGGGTGGAGCAACTCTGGGAAGGGGCTGAGAGTGGAGGGGGCAGCAAAGGCAGGAATCCTGGCATCACAATCCCTCCCACTCTGAGGCTCTGATCTCCCTGGAGCTGAGCTCCCCAGGGGTCACCATACTTGGAAAGTCCCATTTTTCTTGGGACTGCTGGTCCCAGCCTCTATGTCTGTCCCTGTCAGGGCTGACTTCCAGGAGAGTGGGCTGCCCTTTGGGAGGAAACTCTAGATCCTGCCCTGTGAGGAGTTGACCCCGACTCCTCACAGACCCAGTGGTGCTGGTTTCCAACCGCACTGTTGGACCTTCCTGGTCCCATAGCAGGGCTTCAGGCGCTGTGCTGGCCCCAGGATCCCCCAGCCTGGAGGGACTGAGTCCCATCCAGGGTGAGCAGGCGTCAAGGATACTGGGTCTCCTCCTAATGTCAACAAAAATTCCCTCCAACTCTCAGGAGCCGGGACCCCTGATAAATTACAAATTAACATCAGATCAAAAGTATTGAGGTCTCACATTGAGCAATAAGATGTGCCAACTGATCAAATTCAAGGTGAAGTTTTCCAGTTATGCAACATTCTCAATAACACGTTTTATGAGTGAAGACAGAGGGGATGTGAATCACCTAAGGGTCTCAGGGCTGGTGAATGCTGTAACTTTACCTTGAACCAAGCTCTACCTTGGAAAGGGATTCCTCCTGCAGCCCATCCTGTGATCTGTTTCCTGAGGTTTTTAGGAAGATTGTTGGTTTTATCTTGGAAAATTCCTCTTCCAAGGACATGAAGTCACGCATCAGTCAGGACAAACAGGGTGAGGATGTGTTCATGAGTGATCCTGACTCCTAAAAGCTAGTCAACTTTGTCTCAGGAAATGGGTCTTCTAATATCATTAAGTCGGGCACCAAGGTAAATAAAAGTAAAAATATAAAATCCATCATACATATGAGTACTTTTTATTTAAAATATAAATGACTTTATGAACTATAAATGGATGCATTGCATTGGTCCATGACAAACTGGATCTGGCTCACGCGAGACTGTGTGTATGCTTCCAAGGAGAATGAAGTCTCTGTCTCCCCCAGTCCTATGGGGCTCCTAGAGCTAAGCCCTGCTAGCCTTCAAAACTAGATGTCCTGGTGTCTCCTCCTACTTCCAATGCCAGAACCCCAGGCTGGAGAGCCTGCTGTGGGGCTTAGAACTTCACTGCACTGCCATGCACAGCCCCAAGTCACCACCCTCAAGCTGGGGAGGATTCTGATTGGCCAGGTCAGAGAAAGTCATATAAAATGTGACTGTCACACAAGAGTCACACAGGAGAGACTTTCAGACTGCCAGACAAGAGGGGAGGACTCAACTGTCATCACAGCACTTCCTAAAGAAGAAAGCTTAATTTCACCCTCCAACCAGGCAAGCGATTACAAAATGCTCAAACGAATGAGTATCAGACTCACATATTCCCTGACTGGTCACCAATGGTGGGAGAAAAAGTGATCCTGTATTGCTGAACTGGCCCATCAACGTGACCCCAGGGTGTGGAGAGGCTGTTGGTTGTCTCCCCAGAGACTCAGATTCCTCAGTCCACTTCATGGTCCTAAATAAATCAACACAATAGAGTCAGTAGCCTGTCTGTAAGCATGGTGGACATGGGGTGGAGGGAGGGGTATGAAAGAACTGTAAGCAGGTCAGAGTCACTGCACCCAGGGGTTTCACCACTCTCTGGGGTGTTTCCTTCCTTGTGATAAAATCTGCATCTGCTCCCTTTCTCACGTGGACCCGTAAACAGTAGGAAGTTCTCCATTCAGAGCTACGGTTATGTGCTGCGCTTCCTGGGACAGAGACTAGGTTGGAACCTAAATGTACAGACTGGGAGAGAAAGGGATTTTAACTACTCTGACCGCTTCCTGTTGAATGAAACACAGAGGCCGAGCCTTCATGTTTCAAAAGTGCCCAGTTGGTGAGAAGACTCATGGCAGGGCAGGAGAAGGGAAGAAACCTCTCCTTAACTCAGGTCCCAGATGAGAAAATGGCCCAAAGACACTCACTCAGCCCAGAGGGCCTTCAGCCTGAATGTGAATGTGGGAAACCCAGGCAAAAGTGGGCGCCAGGCCTCCCCTCACCTGCACAAGGTGGAGGTAGCTCTCAGCACCCCTCCCTCACCACCCACCTGCCCAGCCTTCCTCACTGAGTCACAAGGGACCTGGGTTGAAAGGATTTCAGCCTCATGTGTTTGGCCCTGGGTGGGGCTGGGATTCCCCTCTCTATCTGAGTGGAGGGCAATGATGTTCACGGAAAAGGATGTGTCTGGAATCAGCCACTCCAAGTGCCCCATGTGGGTGTTTCCTGGCACCACAATCTGGAGGGGAGGACATGCCAAATTCTGACGACAACCCAAATGCTTACTGAGTCCTCTGTTAGTCGGCATAATAACATTTATAGTAAAGGGCTGAGCCCAGACACAGCAGAAGCCAACCTCTGTGCTACCTCGTGAGATCTGCCCAAGCCACAGCGTTAGATGCAGTTTACCCTCAGGAATTCCCTCTCCACTAAATGTGAGCTCACACTTGACGCTTAGCAACTTCAACAACCTCCCATTTAGGTTCCTTGGGGAGGCTATCAACTACAACATCCAGGGCTTACAATAGTGGCCCCAAATCACCCCAAATGTTAGAGACACATAAGATACACTGCTCAAGGAGAGATTTTCTAATACAATAGAGAGCTCCTCCATGCGACGGATAAGCGCAGTGTTGTCTGAACACGTCCTGCCACACACAAGGATGCAAATCAACACTCAGACAGGGTCATCATGTGTTTATCTTTGTGCAAGGTCCTTGCTGTTTTTTGTAAAGTCTTGTAAACTTACTTTCCCTCAGGTGCTCTGATACTCTCCCTACTCACATTGGTAATTTCTGCTCTCTATATTATTAATCTACTTAGAAAATGGAATAATACTAAGATAGATGAGCAATCTGTTAAGAGATAATGAAGGCAAACTTTCAGGTAGCTTCCTAGCAAAGAGGTGTGTGTTATAATAAAAGCCCGTATTGACAAGGTCTATGAATGATTTGCATTTACTACTGGGGTTTTTTAACTCATACAGCTAATTTGCATTTTCCCCAAATTCATTTTTGCTTACTAACCCTACAGTTAATACTCTTATGATTTAATTCATCAAAAGCAATCACTTAAGCATTGTACACGGGCATGTTCATGGCCTGCATTCTCACAGGCTGCCAAGCATGACACAAACATAAGACTAAGTTCATCAGGAAATGAGTGTGCATGTGACCCAGTGCCACACCAACTCATCTACTGTCCTGTGCCAGCAACTACAGCAAGAGGCACCATAAAATCTGCAAAATTCTTCTGCTGAGCTCTCAGCTGACAACAGTACTTACAGGTTCCGAGGGTCTCATGCCAGCCAGGGGAGAACACAGAACACGGTACTGCTGCACTGCCGGGGCAGATTCCCACCAGCGAACGTCCAGGTTGTTCGGCATCAGATTGTACACTTGGACATTTCTGGCCAGTCCTCTCACCACTGAGGAAAGAAAAGCCAACACATATTTTTTATGTCTATTTATACATGTTGAACTTTTGTTATCACTTCATCTCAAATTCCACTCTGTAGTAGGATAAAATACTGTCCTCCTTAAACTTTGAATTATCTACACACAAAAACTCTCCAAATCCATATTTAGCCAAACTTAGCCAACTAGGGCCTTGGCCTATACAGAAGCTAAGTTGGTGCCAATAAAAACAAGGGAGTAAAAGTACTAATACTGGGTTGGCCATAAAAGAACAAGGGACAAGGGCAAGAAATTGGAAAAGCTTCAGTTTTCAAACACAGGTCACAGAGAGATAGACAAGAGGATTCTATCATCTCTGCCTCTAAATGAAAACTGACAACACCGAGGATGCCCATCTAATCCAGGCAGCTAGGTTAGCTGGTTTCAATCACTCATTTCTTCTCATTCAACAAACAGATACTGAGTCTGTGCGATTAAAAGAAAAGGCAAACATAGGGAGAAGTTAAAGATACACTCAGTTCTCAGATAACTGCCCCAATAAGGACTTAGAAAGACATGCAAATTAAATCCATGTATTAACCCCAAACTCCAGTTTAGCCAATAACATCATTTTTCTAGACCACTAATCTTTTGTCAAAAGAAGTCATCCACACCTGCTTTCTTTTAGCCATCAGCACGTATATTTTTAAGTCAAAAAAATATTTAGAGGTATGCATCAAAGCCTTTAAACACTACAAAGAATCATAAAACCACTATAAACTGGTTTCTGAAGATGTTAATAGCAAATGAAAGCACACAGATTTTCAATGCCAGAAAGCATTTTATTGGCAAACAGAGAAATGTGCTATCAAGTAACGTGATGAACAGATTCCAACAACTGACACTGAAAGCCAGTGACAAAATACTGCTTCACAAAAATTTATCAAGCACAAAGCAAAGCTCATGAACTTTTGTCAGTGAAAAAGAACACTGATAACTGTATACACACTTACAAATCCTGAAGTTATCATTTCAGAAGAATGTCATTATACATTTTTTATCTCATACACTAAAATATTAACAACTGATGGGAGTTGAGAGGTAAACTATGGGTAATTGCTACATTTTTATTCCATCATGAAATTTTCAAATTTTCTTTAATGGGCCTATATGGCCTGTATACTGAAAAGCAAAATGCATCATGAATAAGCCAAATTTTCCTGCCTTTTTACTTACATGTCCTTCGAGTGTCTGGTGTATGCCCTCCATTGCCCTCAGGATAAACAGGAACTACTGTAATGGTGTGTGTGGTATCTGGCTGCAGATTCCTAGAATGGTATAATTGAAATTCCCAGGGATTGGCACCTAAAGGTTTTAATAAAATGTAAAGTACTTGATTTGAAAAACTTGTGCAAGAAATAATACTTCAAACAATAAAATACTCAAAATATTAACTCAAGACCAAGTCAAGAAGCAGGTTCTGCAATCCTGGGACCTAAGGATGTGCCCCCATACAAACTATTGTAAGAGCTGATGAAGACTTCTCTGCACACATCCTAGCTCCTTCTTGAAAAGTCCCTGGAATGATTCAATCCCCCAGCCCCAATCCCTCAAAAGCCCCCATCACTCAGGCTCTAAGGCACCAACCAACTATGCTCAGTCAAGTTCTACTGAAGGAACATGAACTTACTCAGCACTACTGTAAGCTGATTAACTCAATCTCCACTTTGCAATCTACAGCTGCAACTAATATGCACTTTTCTCTACAGGAAAAAATGACCAGTTCCTCCAGACTACCTGCTGGTGGTGCATAGAAGAGCTTGTACTGACGAGGATTTCCCTCCGCATGGTCCCAGAGAATGTTCAAAGTGCTGGTGGCAGGGTCACCTATGCTCTGAGGTTCCTCACAGTAGTCAGAGGTTCTGAAACGCACAGAAAGCACATCACATGTGATCCTAACAGCCCAGCACACCTGAAGCCCAGGTTTACTGAGGGGTCCCGGGAACCCTAGAACACAGCAGGATCCCTGTCGCAGGCACCCACAAATATCTGCAGAAGTAGTGAATAAGGGAAAAAATGTCTGTGATCATCTGGGTCATGTCTCATCCCTCCACAAGGTATTTTGTCCCCAGAGCATAGTTTGTTTATTTGTCTGTGTTATCCTAGAAAGCAATAAGCACCCTTCTCCAAGACCAGAGACAGATAAGTCCAGTAAGGATATTAAAGACAATTAAGATCTTAGGGGGAGAAGTCATGCAAAGTAATCTGAACTTCATAAAAATAAAGTTTGTTATTAATTCATTTACAGCTCAGGAAACCCAAAGCTTACAAAAACATTGCTAAATAAATCCATGTTTATTTCACTTAGGATAGCTACACTGTAAGTGAAAAGCTCTTTGGAAGGAAAGGGAGAAAATGATTATTAGCATTGAAAGCTGACTTAGACATATTTCAGAAAGTATCTTTGTGGTGAGAAACCTCCAATTATGTCATCACTTTATATGAACTGATAAAGAATTCACTGTTCTCTTGAAGCTAACCCTGATCACTGGGGTAAGTCATTCAATGCTTATCGACTTCTTAACCAAGAGCAGAGGAAATAAGTGAGGGGAGGCCACAAGGGGCAGGAGGGGCTCACAGACACAAAGCCGTCTCCCTTGCCAGGTGATCAAGGAGAGTAAAGGTCTCACATGTGGAACTCCTGACCTCGGACAGTACTCGAGGTGGTGCGGGAAAGGGGCAGTGTGCTCCAGGATAGGAGTGTTTAGTGTTGTTCCGGTTCAGTAGGTCTATAGCCCTCACAGCCCAGCTGTGCCTGGGCAGAGTATTCCCCACAGCCTGCTGGTCATGTTGCCAGAATGTGGGGTATGAAACATTCTAAGTCATTCCCTCCCAAGCCATGAGAAAGTCACACAGTCTACAATTACTATCAGAGCCACATCTGTGAGTCACCCAGCTGCCTGCACCAGATAGTTTGCCTACTGGAAAATCCTGATTAATGACTTTTTAAAAACACCAGAGTAACAATTTGACCTGCCAAAAATGACCATTTTTTCATCATGTCACCATTTTTTACTTTGGTTATCTATTATCTTCTGCAGATAATATAAAGGAAGTAAAATGAAAACGCTGTTTTTAATGTACATTAACCTCAAATCCAAATGCTGCTCCTTCCAAGGTGTGGAAAAGGTTCTGTGGTGTCAGCATTGAGGGACTCAGAGACTCCTTTTGGTTGAGGCTTTGGGGCTTCTTCAGGCCATGCTGAGATGCCGGAGGATTTTCTAGTAACTAATACAATTAATGCACATCTGCAAATAAGAGTCCTCTTGAAGTCACAGGTTACCAGGCCTGTGAGTTCCGATCAGACACACTGTTCACCGGGATGCACGGTTACTGTGAACAAAGCCCCAAGACCCCGAGGACTAAGGCCCCTCATGAAAGCCATTGTCTGAACTCCTTGGATGACAGAAAAAGCAGGTGCTTTACATTTCTGGCTCAAAAACCACCCACAGCCTGAATTGGCAGCATTAATCACAGGAAAGAATCCCTGCCTATCAGTTTATTTTTGCTCCATAGAAGCCAGTCGCTCAAAAAAGTCCGAAGCCGGAGACGCGCCAAATCGCCATTCATGGGGGAAGCGAGAGGCGGGCAGCCAGAACACTTTTGGGAGGAGAGCGAGCGCCAAGGGAGCCGCTCCTGAGTTTCTGACACCGGTTGCCCCTCCAGGCTTGTTCTCCTGTGCTCTCCCCCTGCAAAACCGTGGAGCCTGGGCTGTGCGCCCTGCCGCCCCCTCTATCTCGGACTTTTTTCCCGCCCCTGCTGGTTCACATGTACTCTGCTCCACGTCTCTCCGCTGCAGCACTACCAACCAGGGGGCCAGGAGCATGGACACACACCTGACCAGGCAGGGGGCCACCATGCCTGCCGCTCCCACCCATCTCTGGGAAGACTGTAATAATTACATCTTTATGCTACCCTTAGCCCGCCAGCCCAGAAAGGAAACAGCCGCTGCTGCCAGGGGAGACTCCTTACAGGATCCTGAGTCTCACTCAGCAACCACCCCTGAAAAAGCCTCCGTACTCCCCTTCCACTTGGAGAGCCCCTGGCTACATTCCCGGGGCAGTCACTCAGACCCCTGGTTGAGGCGGAAGGTGCACCCAGCAGGAGTGACCCCTCCCGCCTCCCAGCCGCGCCCCCCACCCTCAGGGCACTCGGCGCCCCCTGCACGCAGCCCAGGCTCCCGGCGCCTTCCATCCATTCCCAGGGGCTGTCGGCCTACCGGCCGGCGCTGAACACAAAGACAGGGTGCAGTTTGCTGCCGCCCCCACCCCCTCGAGGTGCCTAACTTGAGCGGGGCGCCCAGTCCCTCGCTGGCCGGCGCCCCTCCCGGGTCTCCGCGGGTCCTCTCTGCGGAGCCCTGCTTGGTGCTCGCTCCCGCACC